TTTTTTGTTCACCGATGATTGGGGGGGGGGGTGTAGATAGCTACGCATCGCAGACGGTAGCTGATAAATTGGTGCATAAATCCAGCACTATCAGTGGATCAGAAACCTGGCCGCTGCGCGCTGAAGACGTCAAAAGACCATCGATGTCTTCGGAGCATTGCCCGAATCTGGTGGGAACGCCGGATCAACAATTCTGAAGTACGTTGAATGGTATTCGGGAGAAATGACCCACCCTCGACAGATGAACTGATCACATTGCATAGGTCGCGCTGGCTTGGCCACATGCTACGTATGTCAGTCGCCCGACTTCCTCGAAGGGCTCTTTTCGCACAACCACGTGAAGGGTGGAAGAGAGCCAGAGGCCAATCTAGGTCTTGCTTTACGAAGGGATCGACAGTGTACAGCGGTACGACTGAATGGGTCGCGCTCGCCATCCCGCAGACCGTTAGGTGGCATGGCACTGGCGGTCGAAGCCGTCCTGCGTGGCTCACTGCCCCCGCTTCCCTAGAAACAGTAACCTGACATCTATGGGTTTGTAGAGCCCTGGGGACAACTCGCTTGGTAGTGAGATAGCATCTTACGCTTTCCTCTACAACTCGTGGGTATGACGCTAGAAAAAACCTGGTTGAAAGTGCCCTACGGGACAGCGAGCGCACGAAAGGGTTCTGTAAACGGTGGATTGGTACAGCAGAATTGGTTGGTATCCGATTAGAACAGGTCCCAGCTCTAGGACTGACAGTTTTGCTTGCCCCGCATCACACTCAGCTGCAATTTCTGAGCGTCCGAGTTCAGTTACAACCCTAAACACTTCGAAGTCTGTTTTCAAACCCCGAAAGCCACCTTCAATGTTCGTACACTGAAACAAGCATATCAACAGGTAGCTCTTGCACGTACGCTGGATTCCCTCTGTATTGATGTATGTTGTCTGTCAGAAACAAGGACGCAAGCACTGTGATGGAACTGACTGCCCCCTCGCTCTCTTCCGGGTTCCGGCTGCACACCTCTGATGATGCAGAGGCCGCCGCAGCTGGATATGCTGGGATGAATACTGTATTGAGCGAACGAGCGGAAGCGCCTGTGCTTGATTGGATGCCCATTGATACGGTTCGTTTGGCAACATCTGTGAGAGAATCTAGGGGAAACGTTTATTGTATCTGCTTACGCCCCAACTGACTGTAGCTTTGAATCTGCCAAGGACAGTTTCTATGACGCCGTCACGAAGAGACTGGACCTTACCGTGGTGCGACGGTTTGCGCACCTCAGCGATCCATTGAGCTATACTGGAGAGTGTCCCGCGACACTCACAGAGTCTCTCATACCAGGTTGGTCA